CACAGCGAGAGAGAGAGAGAGAGAGAGAGAGAGAGAGCTTGACTCTGTGGGACGGGTCTGTGGTGAGCTGTCATCCGTCAAGCCACGCGATCTGCACGTCGTGTAGCGCAGGGCCGAGATCAAGATCTGGCGGCCGGGTACAGGTCGAAGGCCAGATACAGGCCGAAGGCCCTGTGCAGGTCGCCGACTCCATCGAGACAAGAGGTGGGTAGGGGGACCGCCGGTGGTTGTCGTGGTAGAGAAGGAACAGCCAGGCCTGAGAGACAACAAGGCCTGCATGTGCAGGCCTTGTTGTCTGGTTGAGCGTGTTTGAGGACGGGGGGTAAAAGCGGGGGCCTTGCAGGTGCCGGAACCTCACCCCTCCGGGCGTCACTTGCCGTGGCACGCCTGGCGAGGGCGCCCGGAGAGCAGCAAGGGCAGGCACCTACAGCGAGCGCCTCCCCTGCCTAAACGCCAAGACACCCCGCTGAGCCCGCCACACGTGTCCCTGTGCCACCCCTGGCCAGAAGAAGCCCCTCAGCCTCATCCGGGGTCTCAGGCCGCGTCTGAGACGACATCCCAAACTCCAACCGTCTGGTCTGTCGTCCGTGAGACACCAAAGCAAACTTGCTCTCCAGCTCTCTTTGTTTCTCTCTCTCTCTCTCCCCTCTGTATCTTTCTCCCCTCACCCTGTCTCGCATGGGGTCACTGCATACCCGCCCATCTCGTGATCCCTTCGTCTACGACATCGCAGCGCCCCCCAGCCTTGCCCCTACTTCTCACCCAACCTCGCTTGACGCTGACGACGCCCTCCCCTGAGCCGCTCACTCCACGCCCACTGCAACGCCCTGCGCGCGCAAGGCCAGCACGGAGCAACTGGCCGCCGCTTCACTCAAGCTGTGGATGCCATCTCGCGAGTACCCTTACGTCGCTCGCCGCTCCCCGCCTGCTTCAGACGATTCATCAAAAGCTTGGTCATGGCCCTGCCTGCCTGTGAAACAACGAGATCGTCCCTGCCTGCTAGCCATGCCGACCTGTCTGGCCCCCTCCCCTCGAGCCATCATCATGCGATTGCAAGACAACCACGTTGCTCGTCTGAACACTTGCTGTGCAACGGCGGCTATCGAGCGCCAGGACGCCGATCACAACCACCACCTTCCTCCCCCTCCTTCTCCTCTTGCTGCTGCTGCTGCTGCTGCTGCTGCTGCTGCTGCTGCTGCTGTTGCTGTTGCTGTGCTGGAAATAAACAAACCCCCCTTTCTATTTCTCCTTCCCCCCCCCAGAATAGCTTGTTCGTTGCCCGTGTCATGTCGGCAACTGATAAGAAACAGTTCTCCTCTTTTTTTTCTCCATGGGTCTACAAGTCAGGCAGACAGTAGTTTCCACTATTCCGTCCCCGACCAGCAGGGGCGGTTTAATTTGGGGGGGGCCGTCATCCGTTTTTCGCCGGG